CTTTTTTCAATAAGTTCTAATAAATTAAGATAAATTATGTTTATTTTGTCTATTGTTGAATTTCGTTTGTTTAGTTGTCAAAACTCGTTTACAAACATTAGAACATAAAGATCGTTACTCAGGAATTGTTGATTGTACTGCGTAAGTGAATCGATTCGTTATTGTTCTAATATTTTTTTATTATATTTTTTTGTTTTTAGAAAAATCATGAAGGAAGAAGGTCTAAGTGCCTTTTTTAAAGGCTCACTTCTTCGTGTTATGGTTATTGCACCTTTATTTGGCATCGCACAAATGGTTTATTATTTAGGTATTGCTGAAGCTCTGATGGGTCTTAAACCATTAGGTAGTGTGAGCTAATGCAATAAAAAAATGAATAACCATCTCTCAAAAACCCAAGAAAACTCACAACCTTGATGAACTATATCTATATTTTGTTTTCCTCATCGAATTAATTTTTCTCCATTATATTTGTCACGTATATGAAAAGACAGTATTATTTATTGTCTACCTTTGTGATTGCATCTCGTAACCTCATCTAGCCTTTATGTGTAATATTTTTTTTTAGAAGACAAACTTTTACTTTTGTGTTATTTTGAGAATGAATGTACGTGTCTTTCTTCTATTCTCCTTTTATATCGTATAAATGTTTTGTATTGTGTTTGATCTCTGCTTCAATAATGATTTCGGATTCTTCCTTTGTTTCTTCTTAGTATGATAAACAGTTTGATGACTATTAACAAATATATTTTAGATGTTAACATTAGTTTAGTTCAGATGAATGAAAGAAAGAGAAATGTATTTAATGATGATCTTAATAATAATTAAATATGAGATTTTATATTTTATTGAACAAAGAAAGATTTCTAAAGGATTGAATTTAAAAGTTCAATTAGTTTTGAAGAAGGAAACTATTATTTCAAAAGCATACATTCCGATGCGTGTTGGAGACTATTGTAGATGATCTCAATAGTTGAGATACTTTCAACTGAGAAAAACTTCAATAAATAACCTATACTTTGTTTTTTTTTACATGGCATGACAAATATGAATTCTTTTTACTTATTCTGCTTTATATTAGAATAGGGTAGATTTCCGTGTGTGTTCAAATATACCACTTCCTTTTAGTTAAAAGAAATATCAAAAATAGAAATGAAAAAACACACATTTCATAAAAAACAAACAAAAATATAACCCATTGCAAAGTTGTTGTTTCTTTAATACATTGTATTTTAATGAGCAAAAAATAGTAGAAACAAAAAAAAATAAAGTTTGATATTTACGGCACTATGAAAATCTAACAGCGTTCATATAATTGTTCCTGAAAATAACTAGTTGTCCATGTACCATAATCTTGAATTATTTCAACATCATCTTCATATTCAATTGATTCATTCAGTTCATCTCTTCTTTAAAAATGCAGTTCAAAACAAACAAAGCTTCAAAATTTCGTGGAAAGTTCTGTGAAAAAAAAAGGAAAATGTTCATAGTAAGTGTCAGAACGTTCAGAAATATTTGACTTCCCCTTCCTCTTCACCGAGATGGAAACACCAGAGATTTCAGTCTTGAGGCTCTGAGAGTATTGTGAAGTGTTTAATCTACAACTTTTATGAAATACGATTTAAAATGAGTGTTGAAATATAGGATAGAAACTGGAATCCCTCGCTCTCCACAGACACGACAAACATAACTATAGAATCGTCACAAACTGTGACAGATGCCTGAGCAACGTTACTCCATCTCCATCCTACCTCGCAAATCGCAATAGGCCTTGTTAATATAAGGTGACAGACTTTATATGAACAGCGTCTCGTTATTTTATATGAATTACTTCATTATTGCATTTTTGAAGGATTAAATAAAAGGATAGTGTAGAAATGTGTCTCAAATCTGGACGTTCTTTTAGGATGATTCTATATTTCAATATATAGCTGATAGAATAGATGGTTGAATATGATTGATCAAGACTGATCGGATTATTTAATTGTACATTTTTTCAATTGAAATGAACATAAACAAAATAAGAATAATCATTTATTTTCAATCTATTAATAGAGAAATTTATGAGTAATTTTATTTTGAAAATAGATTGTACATCTATACATATATTTTGGAAGAAAAACTTTGAAAATCTTTGACTATTGTATATTCTCTACAAAAGTGCTATGAGACAATAATGAGTACGATAAGAAAACTTCTGGAAACCCCTGATTGTCTCTTAAAATCTTAAACAATCATCATACGATTCAATGAGTTAAAATATCGGTAAGTCAGATATCATATTTCGATAACAAACAAGAAAAACAAAGTGGTATCTCATATAACAATTCAAAAGTGACACCTGTAAGAAAGATCTTGACAGAATGATCACTTTTCATGAATATTTATTGAATGTGTATTTTGATATATAAGGTCATAAGGGTCACAAGTTGATCATCTTCAACTCATACATATATATCGTCTATTGAAATCTAGGAATTTGTAGAGTTCACCAGTGTTTATCCATTGAAATTTAGTTTGTCTTAGTAAGTGGCAACTAAAAAAACAATGCTTTTTTTGATTAGGTTTTTTTATTGATATTCCATAGTCTTCAAGTTTTATGTGGGTCTATAGAAGATATGTAAAGTATAAATATATGATACTATTAAATTTTGTTGATTTATCCTCCAAGCAAAAAAATGAAACCTATTTTTGACCTATTTATTCCCTATGGTAGAATAATAGCTGTCTTCTCTTGAAATTTAACACTCCAAAAAAACTAAAATGTTATTTCGCTTGTTCATAGAGATCCTTTCGAAAATCATTTATTGATGTTGACGCAGAAGAAGTCATCATTGCATACATTACAGTATGAATTAGTGTAAATGAATATTCTGTCTAGGGAAAAAATGAAGATGCATGTTATGCTTTCTCAATGTAAACGAAACTTGAAATTTATTTCTAAATAAAAGAAAATTATTTTGTAATTTTGGGCCTAATTAAAAACGAACTTTGCTTGTGACATGTATATGAGTAAATTACAACTTTTTAGTACGATTAAGATTTTAGCCGTATTCGGCTAATAACTTTCGTTCCCATTGATCGATTTGGACAATTTTTTTATATATTACTTCACTCTGTGTGTCCCACATCCACACAAAACTTCAGCCTTGTAGTTTATATGATCGATGACTTATAAGAGACAGATTACAAAAAAAAAACCGTCATTTTGCGGTGGCATGTGTAAAGAAAAGAAAACTTTCTGTGTACGATAAAACAAGAGAAAAAGGATGTATATAGTATAGTTTATACAGCATTCAACGCTCTATCAAAATATGTAGTTGATTTAAATTTTATTCATTCTTTATTTGCTTCTCTAATGTCCACATTGTTTGACAGACACTTGTATGTATTGGTGCGAAGTGGCACAAACTCAATTCTATATCTCTCTGCGATAAAGCTGTCGGCGCGTAAGCCATATAAGAAGAGAGAGAGAACTCTTGCAGTAACAAGCTAGCAACAATAAGTTCTCTCTTATCAATTTTATTTCAGAGAAAAACTGATAATATTTACTAAAGAAAAGGTCATTATACTTTGTAGAGTAGCACTTCGAAAATTGTCTACTCTATAAGTTTTCAATGAGTTATTCTATGTGGTTCAAGTTTTTACAGTAGATGTAAAACAAAATATTATATAAGTAGTGAGAATTTCAGCTCTTGATCTTGTACCATTCAGGAGATATTATGTTATACTGCAAAATGTAGAGTGACGTTTTTTTGCTGCAGATATTTTCAATCGAACTCATTCGAGACACCCTATCCTTCATATAAAGCTGGAAAATGACTCGAACTTTTTCAATGAGTAAAGCCACTTTTATTATTGAATTAAGCAGAAATAAAAGTGTACAACACATATTTTTCATCATATTCAGTGAAGTGTTGGGAAACTTTTTCCCCCTTAACACAGACGTAGAGCATAATAAGCTTAGAAATTGTTTCAGTTTGTTTTCAGTTCTTCATGTCAATCGTATCAAAAAAAGTTGCAATTCAATCATATAAAGCTGTTTTATTCTGATTGTTCAAACGAAAATGCAGTTTATTTCGATCTATTAATTTGTATTCCTTTCATATAATTCATTCAAGAAACATGACTGCATTTAATTAAAAATCTCAGAGAACAAAATCACGAAAGATATGAATTGATAAACTAGGAGTGAATCCGAAGACGATTTATATGAAATTATTTTTTTCTTCAAATAATGTCATACTCAAAGGGTTAAATGATGAGCAAAAGAAAACGAAATTGACTTCAATTGTTAATCATTGTTAACGTAATTCATACTAAATAAATAGAAAAGTTCAAATATCAACAACGTGTAGCCTTGATTAAATAAAAAAAAGGTATGTGGTTAAATAAGAATTTGAGAATATATCATAATACGACATCAAATATCAATATTTAAAACTACAACATCTCAATAGAATGTCGTTTAATAATTCATAACTAAATTTTAGTTGACATATTAAAAGAAAAACGAAATAAAGATTATATTGAAAATTTATTCAATTAAATATATACTATGAAAAATAAATACAACCTTTATAGATATATATATATATGCTTGAAAAAAAATTGAAAAATATTCCTCGTCAACATAATGTTTCTATTCAAAACATCAGGCAACAATGTGTTACCATGCTTTACATAATTCCATATTGTACAAGGTAAGTATACGTCGATCATACTTACATACAGGTAATAGTAAAGAGAAATACAATAGAAATATTAAAAAAAAGTAAAGTGGTTATGCGACAGCGTGGCAAATAAACGTTAAACATAAGTGAATATTTGTTTATTCAATGAATTTTTCGTATGAAAAAAAAAAGAAAGAAAAGACATACAAAATTATGTTTCGTTAAAAAACAAAACGAACATTAATTTTTCTCTTTTACATTTATTACTAGAATGAAAATCAATGATTTATTTTCCAGAAAAATTTAAATAATAATTATTCAATATTAATCATGAATCGTCAAAATGATAATACCAATAATAGATATTATGCTTATTTACCTCCAACAGGTCCACCATCATCTCGAAATTCTTCGTCAAATAGTATAAATCGTAATGCACATTATCAATATTATGATCCTCGTTTACGTGCTCGACAACAAACACAGCAAAATCTTTATGAAATTCAATATTCAAATAGAAGTCCTAATCGAAGTCCACCTTCTTTATATGGTTCGCCACGTAATCAATATTCTTATCAACTACCACCATTTCTTCAAGATTTACCATCATCATTATCAGCAAATACGATTGCTGATTTAGGTGAACCAATATCTATATTTGATGATATTAAACCATTAGAACAACGACGAGCAATTGTTGCTCCACATTTACCATCAACATATGTACCACCAAATCCAAGTCAACGTCCATCTGTAAGTGATGTTCGTCTTGCAACGGCACACGTTTTGCGAGGACAATTATTAGATGATATTGAACGTACAATAAATGATATTGATCGAGATTTAACCTCACTTGAACGACGACCTTCAGTGCAACGTTATATGCCACCTCGTTTTTCACCTATTATAGAATTAGATGTAAGAAATTTTCTTTTTATAACAATGAAAATAAGATTATTTCTTCTAGACTCAAGATGAAAATCTCTTTCGACAAACAACAAATACTAATAAACCAGTTAGTGTTCCAACAAGAAAACCTATTCCAATGATAACTTCACCTGTGAATAAAAGAATTCAACAGACATCAGCACATTCAACAACAACAAAAGAAAGAAATAGTGGTACTAGTAGTCAATTATGGCCAAATAAACCAAAACGTTTTTATGAAGTTATACCTAGTTTAACAAGTGATTCAAGAAAAACGTCAAGACAATCGTCTGTTGGTCCACAACATGAACAAATTAAAATAACTGAAATACAATCACCACAATCACCACCAAAACTAATTGAGAAAAGTAAAGTTCATATGCCTATGTGTATTTTATTTTTCGTTTTTTTATTCTATGGAATAATTTTATTTATTTATTTTTCTAGATGTTTCATCATCAAAACTTCAATTACGTGGTCAATATCATTATGCACCAGAAGTTGAAGAAATTGAAATACTTCCAAATGATCCAGAAAATATTGATCATAAATCTAGATTAGATGAAATGCAAGGAACAAGTCCTTATGAAACATTAGACACGAATCAATTTCTTCGTGAATTATCGAATCCACCAGAAAGTCGTGCGATGATTTTTATTCCAGAATTTAGTGGTAATAGTCAAATAGGACATCATGAACCTATTGAAGATTTAACTCAACATGATCAAATCGATAATACAAATATTGCTCGACCATTAACAGTTGATTCTTTCCATGATTTAAGACCAACTAAAGAATTAACTATTCAAGATACTCAATTACCTATTCAAACAACACCAGAAGTTCAAATCGAACCCGAAGTTAAATCTCAAAATATAATTACTCCGCATGAAATACATTATGAAACTGAAATTGATTTAGAAAATCAAATTAATCCCATTATTTCAAAACCTATTCAACAACGACGGCCATCAACAAAAGTTTCAACGATAACTCCAATTGCTACTGATGATCTTCAGGAAAAATCATCTTCGTTACAAATACCAACAATTGATCCTACTCTTGTTGCTGCTTCGTCTTCTTCTCCACGACCACCACCACCAACTCCTCCTCCTCCTCCTCCCCTTCCTGCTCCTTCTTCTTCTTCTTCCTCTCCTCCTCCTCCTCCTCTTCCTGCTCCTCCTGCTTCTCCTTCTCCTCCTCCTGCAGATAACGATGCTAGTGGTCCTGTTGCATATTTCTTTAGTGATTTTGGAAATGAAGGCGAAGGTGAAGAAGATCTAGTATCAATTGATGAAAGTAATTTTGCTGTGCCAACTGGTGCAGATATCATAGCTGATGATAGTGCCAATAATAGTTTAATGGGACAATCTCAAGCATCATTATTACATTTACGTTCGGCGCACGTGCCACAACAGCAGCAGCAGCAGCAACAACAACAACAGCTTACCTCGGCAATGTCGTCAACTACAAAGAATAACAATGAGCATAGAAAAATAGAAGAAAATAAAGAAATAGAAAGCAAAGAAACCGATGCAACAAAAAAACGTATAACAACTACTACTTCAGTTTTACCGTCGTCGTCTTCATCACCAGAAAAAATCTTACCTTCTTCCACTATTGACGACATGCAAACTCAATTTACTAGAAAAAACAGTACAGGTAGCGACGATCATCATCGACAATCGTCAAGTAAAATGGCAAATACAGATGCAACTAATTCAAATATCGACGAACAAGAAAAACGTTTAAATAATTCACAAATTCGTCTTCGTTCATCATCATCATCAAAATCTTATCATATGCATTCTCGCATTCAATCAGCAACATCGGAAAAACATGATGAACAAATTAAAAATAATAATGAAGAAATGCATAGATTATTATCATCATCACGTCATACTACTCCATTAAAAAGTATCGATAATGAACATATTCAAACACCCGATAGAATTGATTCAGCTAATCAACGAATAAAATCATCATCGAAAACATTATCACGTAATATGTCTAGAACTTCGACTCATACAAAAAATGATGAAGAAATAATACGTATTGATTCTGCAAGAAAAAGTTCATTACATAATCTCGATAGAGAAAATTCAACTATTAGTTCAAGAACAGTATCTCGTCAGCCATCGATGGCACCTAGTGAACGATCTCATACAAGTCAACGAAGACCTGCTTCATTACGTCCATCTTCTAATAACGATGAAGTAGGTCAATTAATTAATTCACATGATTATGTAAATAAAACACCAACAAATGAAAATGAACCAAATGCATTTTCAGCTGAAAGTGAACATTTTCTTTATAATGAACCACAAATATCATATGATCTTAATCAACGATTACCAAGTAATTATTCATTATCTAATCCTAGTGAATCTCGTCGTAGTTCAGCAGCAAGTTCAACACTTCCTGTTACACTTGGTTCACCTGATAATGACGATAATCAACCAAAAACATCAAGAACAACAACACCAAAGAAGAAAAATTCTGTTGCTTCAATTGATATGCCACCCGATCCAAATATAATTCTTACAACAACTGATGATCCAGATCCTAATGATCCATCAATAATAAATAGTACAATACATTTACAAATATTATCCTCTCAACAACCTAATAATGATATATTTATTACAGAACGTAATGAACCTAGTCCATTAGAAAATATTGTACCAATACAAGAATTTCCAACTCGTATTCAATCTGTTGAATTACCAACCGAAGAAAATTTATATAAATCTTCATCTAATATACATCATAGTCCATCAGCTGAAATTGAACTCGTACCTGATAATGAATTGCCACCAATATCACCAGAAAATAGTATTCGTCTTCAATCTATTTCACCATCCAATCATGAACAAGATGAATTATTAGATCAAATACCTTCACTATCTAAAATTGAATATCAACAAGAATCACCACGAGAAAGTCCTGTAGTTTCGTATCCAAAAACTCTTGAAGATTTAAAGCGTTCAACTTCTCCACCATTTCTATCATCAAATGAACATCAACAACAAGAACAAGATGAAAATAATCGATTACCAATAGTATCAACACCAACCAATGAAACAACAACAACAAATGATTATTATAATAGAGAACAATTAAAACATAATGATACACATTCATCATTAAGTTCTCCACGTCGTAGTATATTGTCCGATACCAATCATACATCTGTTGAAGATGATGATACATTTGAACAACGATTAAATACACCATCAATATCTCCTCAAAATGAAAGAATTATATCTCCTCAAAATGAAAGATTTATATCTCCTGATTATGATGATAATATTGATAATAATCAATATGACATTTCAAAACAAACTTTAATATCATCACCAATAAAACAAATATTTCCTAATGAAAATCAACAATATCCATCATCAGAAAAATCAAATTCAACAATACATGATAAATATCAACATCGTAACGATGAACATTTATATCGAAATGATATTCAACTTAGTTCAGCATCAATTAAATTTACTAAAAGTCATTCTGCACGTTCATCATCATCATCACAAATTCGACCAATATCTAATGAAAAAGATCTTCCATCAATGACTCCAAGTCAACAACATTCAAAATTATCACTTCGAGTACGACAAAAAAAATCAAAACGAAAAAAATCAATTGATGATCAACAACTATTATCACCACAAATTGATGTAGGTATGCCTCGTGAGAGGCAAATAATAACACACAGTATTAATAATTAATATCAATTTAGACAGTTGATATAGATCAAATGAATAATGATGATGATATTTTGGAAAAAAAACCAAAACAACGACAATGTCGACGAGTATCATTTTCAAGTAGTATTGCACATTATCAAATGGAAGAACGAAAACTTCTAACAAATTGGCGTGAACGTGTTGCTACTCTTTTAGCAAACAAAGTTCGTAGATATGTAGAATACTGGTTAAAAATATAAGACCAACGTATTTTATTTTATCTACAATATCAAGGATTTAACTCAAATCCAAATAATAGTTTCACGAGTGAATAAAGTTCTCCCTATCAAATGCATTTTATGAGCGAAAATTTATAGATTGAGTTTGAGAGAAACAAACACGATAGTTTTCAAGTCCTAGAAGACTGTATAGAAATTTGTTTTGGAGAATGTCGTCTGAAAGAACACAAAATCCTGAATAAAATGTAAGCCCACGGAGTTAAAAAATAAAAAAAAATGACATTAAAATGATGAAATGGACAAAAAAGATTGCTACATTCAAATTCATTGATTAAAATAGACATTTTCATTAATTTCATTGCATGATTTTGATTAAAAATGAAATTGACTGCATTTGCTTAATTAAAACGTCACTTTTCTTCAATGAATTTTAAAAAAACATCGATTTTTTTGTTCGTTTCATCATTAGAAATGCCTTGTTTTCGTGTTTTTGATATTAAATTTACGAAAGTTATGAAATTTTTTTTTGAATTTTTGACTTCATGAGGAGTTATCGCATTTCCTATGATCTTTCCTTAAGGGTACCTTCCTCGTTTTTGGTCATTTTTGGTTCTCGAAGAGGATGAGCTGATCTACATAAAATTTTTATCATAAATAGAACACCTAAAATAAGGAGATTCGTGTTCAAGCAAAAAATTTAGACAAGGTTTTCCATAGGATCACATCGAGTCTGCTGGCGACTCCTGTCTAACTTTGTCCGAACGGACTGGAATTTCAATCACAGATACTTAGAAGTATTCTACAGAGGTAAAATCAGCTGTTTTTATTTTTGATCTCCCTATCTGGATTGATAGAATCCCTGAACGCCAACACTCTGGCTTTGGATTCGAACCTTTACGTGTTTCTTTCATTAAAAAAAAGAAAGCGAAATTTTTTAAAAAGCATAAAATTATCTCTGAAATATAGTCTAAGGTATATCCAACAAAATTTTCAGTCCAATCGGACACAGCTAGACGGTGATCGTAAACAGGATTGATGCAGTCCTATGAAAAGCCTTGCTTAAAACATTTTTCTTTGAACACATGTCTTCTTATTTTAGGTGCTCTATCTTTGGTAAGAATTTCATGCGAATCCATCATGACCTGTTCGAGAACGAGAAACGGCTAAAAACGAGGGTACCCTTAAGGAAAGATCATAGGAAATGCGGCCACTCTTCATTTTATGCAGAATTTTGCGTTCTATAATATGATACTCTTCAAAATTAAGTTTTATAACCTTCTAAGATTTGAAAGCTATCATATTTGACATTTTCATCTGATAGAGAACTTCATTTGCTATTCAAACCATTATTTGAATTTAAATTAAATGCTTGGTATCGTAGATGAAAAAAAATGAAACATACGTTGCTCTTATAGTTTTGATTAGTAATGTAATTTAAATGTTTAAATTCAGCATCGTCTAAATGAAAAATATGCTCATGTACAATCACGTGTTAATTCATTTGCTAATTTTGAGTATCAACCAAAAAGAATTAAGGTTATGCCTGTTAGAAAATTACAACCAAAAGTATGTTTAAATTACGTATATTTTCGTGTAATAACACCAATTTATTTTCTTCTAGGTTATTGAAGTAAATGAATTATTTTTTTTTTTCTTTGAAAATATCATTTCTTTATCTTTGTATTAGCCAATAAATGTTGAAGAAAGCAAATTTGTAAAACGAAAAAAATTCAAAGTAAAACAAAAAAAAAAAGAAATTTTAAAAATTCCATTATTTAATTTCATTTCATAAGATAAAAAAACCAAAACCTCGACCAGTAATATCCATTGAAGAGCTAACTGATGATGAACAACAACAACCAATTCAGTCAGCAAAAGTATGTCGAATACATAAAAAAAACTTCATTATCGCTTGAATCAAAATATTTTTCATTCTTAGGATCCGGCACCTCAGTTATTCGGACGACTTTGGTGCCTACCCGACGGAAGTCCGACAATTTTTCATGAACCTCTTGCATGGAATGCTGAGTCAAAATTGGGTGGTTATACATATGAAAATCTTGATTATGAACCACATCATAACGAATTCAAAGTATGAAAACATTTTTTTATTTAAATTTCGGTTTTTCATTTTAAATAAAATTCTTGAAAAAAATAAAGATTTTTAATAAAAAACCCAAATGGCATAGTGAATCAAAATTAGCAGAACTTCGAAAAGAACATAAACGCATTCGTCATCAACAACATCCTGTTCCAACTAATGTATTACCAATAATACCTGATAGAGGTGAAGCATATGTTTATCAACAATCAAGTTTAGAACCTGGAATGGAAAGAAAAGTATATTTTTTTCTAATACTAAAGTTGATCTTTTTATATCTAAAAAATAGATTTTTGATATACAAACTAACATTCAACAATCAGAATTAAGATTACAACAAAATTTTACAGATAATCTATCACATCAATCTTATGGTTCAGCACCTTCGGAGATACCTGTAAGATTATTAATTGATTTAAACCATTTTGAATTCATTTATGTATTGTTTTAGATTTTTAATGAAAAACTCGTATGGACAAGAAAATCAAAAATAAAAGATGCAACATGGCAAAATATAAATTATCAACCAAAAAAATCCGAAGTTCAAGTAAAACATTAAAAAAACACGAAATTCAAAAATTATTTGTTGTTTGCTTTTTTATTTAAGATTTTTCATAAATCAGTTCATTGGAATAGTGAACCTAAAATTCGAACACGTTCACCATCAACAATTTATCCACTACGAACATCAATGAGTAATGTTCAAGTAAGAATATTCAACGAATATTATTTACATAAATATATTCTTTTTCATTGTTTTTTTTTTTTGAGATATTTGATGAAAAATTAAATTGGGATGCTCAAGCAAAAGTACATTGTTGGTCAGAAATTGATCTTCGTCAATTAACAAAAAAGAAAGCAATTTTTGCAGTATGTAGAAATGTTTTGTTTTTACTTCGAAAATATTTTTATTTTTAATTTAGCAATATCATGATCCAAAATGGAATGATATTGTAACACCTCGTGTTGATGCAACTAATTATAATTATTCAAGACTTTCGAATCGTGTTGAAGTATATGTTTATAACAATGAATAATCTTTTATTGGATATTCTTTTTTTTCATTTTAATAGATTTTCTCTGAACAACTTGCATGGGCAAAAGATTCAGAATTAAAAGATTATGTTTGGCAAAATTTTGATTATAAATCACATCCACGAACTCGACAGGTAATCATTAACAAATAAACAAAAAAAAAAGAAATAACATGGTTGCTACGTAAAATAAATTGTTGTTCACTATGTACATTTTTATTTGCATCACTTTAAACATTTTACTTGTCAATGATTACAAAAAATTTTCATATTTACAAAAGAAAATATATATGTTTGTATAGAAGAAAAAAAAAGAATTTGCCTTTTTATTGCAACTAGAGAAAAAAAACGCCTGTCAACTAATTTTGTTATAGTGCTCGATTGCGTGTGAAAGCATCATGCGTATAAAGCATACCTTTCAATGTTGCTCACGGATCATTTTTTATTTTAAATGTATTCAAACAAAGCAAATACTCGTTTCTCGCTTGTTGTGTAGGTGTGTGTTTCATCAAGGAAAGAGAGACAGAAAGAGAGAAAAAATGAACTTTCTTCCCGTCTATTTAATTCTATCGTATTCGTTGTTCCATTTAACGTTTCTTTTTCTTGACAATCATTAGTTTAAAAAGTTAACAAAAAAACTATCGATCAACATTATAAACATATTATTGTTTTACATCAAGTCAAATTTGATTTGTTAGATATATTTATATTTATTTTAATATTACAAATACTATAAGTAAACATACATACACATATATAATTATAGTAATCTGTTGTTTTCTTTTTAAAAATAATATCTATTCTATCTTTTTTGTTTTCGTGATTTTAGTCAAACAATCGACAACATTTACAAGATACTGATCAAGTGAGTAGGTTTTCTATTGTAATGTCTTCTTCTCCTATGAAATAATACAAGAGATTAATTTTAACGATGAGTCCGTTTTTTCATTTTTTGTAAATATTACTAAATGAAATAAAATCAAGATAACCTAATAAACTTAGGAAAGTGAAAAATTGGCGTTTGATCTACATCTTTCGAATATGTTCATGTTTCAGTTTCGACGTGTGAACGTATGTCATTTGAATTGTGAATGTGATGTGTTTCATTTGTTCTTTTTTTTTATTCTAGAGTCCAGCAAATAAACCAAAATGGAATGCAGTAAGCAAAATACGCAGTGTCAATACAGTTTACAATCCAAATGCAACAAGTTCAACTACGGTAAATTTGTTTTCTTTTTTTGTTTTTTATTAATACTAAATTTATTATTATCAATATGTTATTTATTTAGATACGACAAGGATGGGATCAAGAACTTCGTCGAAGACGAGTTCATAAAGTATAATAATTGATTTTCATAACTTCGAAAATATTTCTTTTATAAAATTTAGTTACCACCATTAAAACGAAAAAGAAAACATGATGATATACCAAAATTAACTATTGATGCTTCACCATCGACATTACCATCTAATGCACAATTATCTATTGAGTATAATTATGATCTTTCTTCAGCAACAGTAAGTTGTTAATATATATATTAATGACAAAGAAAAAGAAAAATCAATATCATGTTATTATTTTAGCAAGAACATACGGCTAGTAATGATTATGCAACAACGTCATCAAGACGATCAAGCAAAGCACTTGTTCCAATAAATCATCATCGACATTTTGCTGAGCTTGAAGTAAAGAAAATCTGTTTGTTTTTTAAATCTCATATTTATTTTTTATTTATTTTTTTGAAGTTACTTAATGAAACTCCTCGATCACAGCGACCAGTACAACAGGAATGGTATGATGAAATGAATAAATCTCGTTTAACACATGTAAAATATTTTTATTTATTTTATTTTTAATTATAATCTTTATTTATATATACATATAGAGAACAGATATGGGACGTACTACAACTCATTCATTTCGAAATTCAATTGATTCTATTCATCAACCAAATACACCTCGAGAACTAGCAACATTTGTTCGTGATTAATATAGAATAAATTTTATGGAAGAATATAATATTTTCTTTTTCTTTTGTAGCGTTCATCCACACGAAATAGTCAAAATAGTGTTATGAGTGGTACATTACTTGATTCGAGTATTCGAACAAATCGAGCAACGGAATTCCGTCTTTCAAAAGACATGGTATAAGAATATTATATTTTAAAGAACAGGACTGCGTAAGGACTCGTTTTGGTCCACTTAATCTTTTCTCCAAAAAGAAGCATAGAAATGAGGAGGTTTTGTAGCACTTGAGTTGACGAGTCTCATTATTTGTAAACGTTGTTGCGAAGTTTTAAGTTATACGTAGTTATGCTTATTATAAGCTTCCCCAACGTCATTAGATCTTTTTGTGTAACAAACTAAGAAGACTGATGTTTCTTCTCAGAATCACCTAATCTTTCATCGGACTGAGAACGGACGAGCACGAATGTTTGAGCAGTCTAAATCGATGGATTTACGGGCGCTAGTAGATCTTGACCGCCTTATATCTGAGAAAATAAAAATAGACATATCGCTATAAATTCAGTGCTAGTAGAGTACATGATGAGCTGCAAGAACACGTATAATTTTTTTAGGAAAGAGTATGACCACATGTTTGGAGTCGAAACTCTTTCGTTCGAATAGATAAAGGTGACCATTTTTTGACTGGTATTTGCCGATTTTTGTCGGATGTATTACACATTTCTAGCATATTTAAAATCAGCAGCAACAAGTGAATTGATCTATATGTGTTTCAAATTTTTTGAACAACTTTTATTGTCGTTAGAAAATTCACCTCTAAGTCCCCTCAGGGTTCAGTCAAAAATGAAGTCAATCAAAATCTCATTTAGATAGTTGAAAACAATTTCCGATTTTGTAAAATCATAAAAGAACACAAAAAGGCAGATGACTACACATTAAAAATAGCGTTATGATTGACTTCATTTTCTGACTGTAGCCTGAGGGGACCAGAGATGAATTTCCTGACGAAAATAAAAATTGTTCGAACAATTTGATATATATATACATATAGATTAACTCACTTGTTGCTGCTGATTCTAAATATGTTAGAAATGTAACGAATCTTGAAAAAAAATATTAACAAATATCATTCAAAAAATTATCACTTTTATCTACTCGAACAAAAGTATCTCGACTCCAAACATGTGGTCATGCTTTTCCTGAATAAACTATACATGTTCTTGCAGTTCGTCATATATTCTACTAGCACTGAAACTTTGGTGAGATGTCTAGTTTTATTTACTGAGTTATAAGACGCTCAAGATTGACTACGTAGTGAGTGTAACTCCATCGATTTGGACTACTCAAGTGTTCCTGCTCGTCCATTCTCAGCTCAACAAAAGATTATTTATTTCTGAGAAGAGGTATCAATTTTCTTAGCTTGTGACACGAAGAAATCTAATGACGTTGGTCAAGCTTGTACGGAGCATAAATATTCCTAATTTAAGACTTCACAACAATATTTATATATCGGTAGATTCGCAAGTTCAAGCGCTACAAAATCTGCTAATTTTTATGTTGCTTTCTGAGAAAAATTCACTATGCCAAAACTGATCCTTATGTACTCTTTCCTTTCCCATGCTTTAACAAATAATTTGATGATTTGTCTTTTTAGGATGAACATCATCAACATTCTCATACACCAAGTCAGTCAATGCCTATTGAAATACGTGGTTTTAGACTTGAAGGTACACAATTGACTGTACCTGATGATGCCACAATTCGTCCATTATCAAATGTTAGTTATGGAGCAAGTGCACGAGTTAAAAGTCGTCGTGTATATCCATGGAGTAATTTACATCCACATCGAACATCAAGTCGAAATAGTTCATTAGTACCTATTGCAGAACTTCGACGTCAATCACTTGATACAACAATAACTGAAGCTCAACAATTAATTCATGAAGAATAATAATTAATAATAAATATATTTTTAAGTTCTTTCTTTATTATTTTTTTTTCTATTTCTATTGGCTTTTATTTGTCTGCTTGTACAGATGAGATTTAATTTTATTTATTTATTTTTTTTTCTTTGAAAATCATTTCAACGGAATTGCAAATAAGCAAAAACAAACAGCTTTTTTTCATTTAACCAAATGTATTAATATGAAGATCCGTGATTAATTCATTTATAGATTTGCTCAAAACAATTAATCGTTGATCTCTTTGTGGACAATTAAGATCTGGTGTTTGCTGTTCATTGTAAGTAACATGAAGTTTTGTACCAAAAGAAACACTCTTAATACAAAAAATAGGTTCATATTGATTAAATGGTGAAGCTTGTTCAACAGCTTGAAAGATATTGTTTGTACGAAATAATGAAAGTTGAATGCTATTTTGTGCAGTAGTAGAACTTGGTGTTGTTGAGAAAGATGGACGATATCGAGGTGCAACAGTCCATTTGACAAGACCATTACGATATAATTCAATTACATAACCAGCAGTATTTGTAGAACCGGAATTAGTAATTCGAATAATATTATTTTCATTATTTGATGAAACAAATGTAAAGAATATGGCAAGAATGATAAATGATATTGTAACCATTTTGAAATGAAATGAATTGCTAGATTATTGAATTGTTGAGGTTCTCATATATAAGTGATATAAATGTGAGAAAATTAAACAGCTGAGGAAATAAATATCGTATTTCGAACTTTGTACTCCTGTAAAATAACTTATATTGTAAAAGTGTAAATATCACGAAGTTTTTTTTTTTAATGTAAATATTATTGACATTGGCAATAAAAGTATGAAGTCTATAAAAATTTTGAAAACTTTCTTGAGACATTGCTCTGTGATAATTTTACAAATAATATCAGTGATTATGAATTTTCTATAAGTTGAATTCACTCACATCTAGAATAGAAGGTTCGAAACGTATTCTTCATGTATATATATATATAAAGACAGCAAATGATCCCACAAATCAATATTCTTGTCTCTATTCTTTGCAGATTCTCTTGTTTTTGCTGAAACATTCATCAAAAGTCTTTTTCTATATGTATAATATAAGAATCTTATCTGATCTACAAGATCTTGCAAATCAGACCAGATTTCGGTAGACATAATCTCGATTAGTGAGACAATAAATCTCTAAACTGAAAATAATCTTGGACTTCGTGTAACAAAACTCTGATTCTTTTGCATCACACAATAAGACTATTCCTTGAATGATCTAGTAAGATTTTTATGCTTTATTCTAATGATTAGTATAGCACTGTTATAGTTTCATTTTCATAGGAATAACAAGCGGGAGCCGGACAGATACTCGATAGAACATTTACTTTCTGGTGTTGATGTGGATGTGGGAGTGAAGGAAGCGGCTGTTGGGGATGTAGGTGTTTGTGTAAATCTTCTTTTCATCTACATCCACACTCTTTTATCATTCTATGATCTAAAGAAAGAATCTTGACTGAATTTCTAGATGAAAAAGAATCTCAGTTGATACGTCAAGAATGAAAAAGCCTTAAGAGAATAGAGGCAAGAATTAATATTCACTTCACTAGTCAACTTAGTTACCATCGCTCTTTCCAGCTTCTTGATTTTCTTGGCTGATTAATCAAGACTCTTTTCACATACACTATAGTTAAGATTCTTGCCTGAATAAACAGATCATAACTTTCTGGCAAGATTCTTATGCTCCTGAATTGCAGCCTGAATCTTTTTTTTTTGAATGAATATTTGAGTATATACAACTGCTACAAAATACATTTGACTTTTATCAGAATTCCTAGATTTTATTTATTTTGAAATTTCAGCGAACACTCCCCTCTCGTCATCAAGAAACAATAACAACAAAAGAAAAAGTATTATATATATATAATAGATACAACTAATTTTTTGTAACAAGATAAGTATAATTGAATAAAGTAAAAGAATATCTATTAGCGAGAGTCCGAGTTCGGGTCCATACTTCTTTCACATTCACACCCCATAGTTTTAATTTACCCTTAGGAGGATTTTACATTGCCCTGGATTTTAATTTCTTCTGCAACATATACATAGGCATGAAGTATTGTTTCTCTTGAAGATCAAAAAAGAATTGTTTAATCAAAAGCAGAAATAACGATGGTCAACACATTGACTAGTAATTGAACTTAACTGAATAATAAAAAATGCCTTTTTTTTTTATCATATAGCGACATCTAAACAGAGCCAACATATGATTAGTTACTTTAGAACTCCTTGTTGTCTAATTGTTTATTTGTTTTTTTTTCTCAAGTTTTGTTTTTCCTCATAGTACGAATAGATTAATTCTACGGAAAACAACTTTTCTCTAAAACATCGAATCTTAAAATTTTTTTCGAAATAAATTTCTACCGATGGGTCGTGTTTTTCTTGAACATCTAGGTGGTCAACGTATATTTTCTTGTGCACATTGTGATACACCATTAACAAACCGTAATGAATTAGTTTCAACACGATTTACAGGTGCAACAGGTCGTGCATTTTTATTTAGTCGTGTTGTCAATACAAAACAAAGTGCTGTACAAGAACGAGTAAAATAATGTTTCATTATCTAGAAAAAACAAACCAACACAAAGATATTAATTTGAATTTTTCCTAGATGATGTTAACTGGTCGACATTTTGTTCGAGATATAAGTTGTAAAAAATGTGATGTTAAACTTGGTTGGATGTACGAATTTGCAACAGAAGAAACACAACGTTATAAAGAAGGACGGGTCATTCTTGAACGTGCTTTGATTAATGAAAGTGATGGATTTTAAAATGAAAAAAACAATTCTATGAACAGAACTGTTTTTTTATTCATTTATTTGTATATATCTGTATATGTATATGAACAGCTTGATTTTTATTGAAAATAATAAAAGAAAAAGTTTAAAGCCTATTTTTAGATGAGATTTTAAAATAGGGACATGTAATGGTGATCATAAAAGATAAATTAAAAATTAAAATTCTTGAAAATAATAATGAAGTACGTTTTATTTTAATTGTTCTTTTTATAAGAATATATATTTTTTTCTTTTTTTGTTTGTAAGGTTCTTCCAATATTACTACGTGATATAGGAGAAAATTTAAAAGTAGGAGAAGATATTGCCTTAGTTCGTTTTGATGCATATGCTGATTTTCTTGTACCACGAAATATTCAAGCAGATGAAGTTCAAACTTTAAATCATCTTGTTGAGTATGTGAAAAAGTTTATCTTGCTTATTGTTTTTTTTTTTGGAATGATTTATGTCAATATTTTATTTTTAGTTCAATCAATAATCAATGTTGGATACTTCCAGCTGTTTATAGAGGATATATAACAAAAATTTTTTGGTTTAAACCACCTTGGGCTTCTCAATTTCATGATGGTGTCTATCAATTACAAATAGGGAAATGTCAACAAACTGGTCTATTAAAGTAAATATATTCAATAAAAATGAATAATATTTAAATTCTTCTATGACGATTATTTTAAAAATAAAAATTCGACTGTTAAATTCAAACTAATCATAAGAAAATGACTGTTAAAAAATTTTTACAAAACATTTATTAGAGAAAACATAAAAGTTATTCAAAATAGAGTAGAGTGTGATTACTCTAATTATACCAATTGTACAATACTCTTATTCTACTTTCAGATATGAATGAAATAAGTTTGGAATGAGGACTAAAACTAAAAAAGTCTAATTCTTACTTTAACCGTTCTCTATCTTATGTCTCTCATCAAGTTAAACTGAGTATTACATAATCGATAAATTCAATGATAAATATTTTATCAAGTTCATGTTTATCTATTTGAATTAAACGAATATCTTGATATTGCTTATTTTCAGAGTTGCTTCAATACTTCCATATTTTACTTCAAATTGTGTTTATTCATCGATTGATACACTTTCCAATATCCATACAGTTGATATATATATATCAACAAGTGGATTAGCAAAAAATTATTCAACAACAAATGAAAAAACTACTACACCAATATATGATAATGAAAATGAGAGTGAACATTTAGATAATGACAATCGAAAAAAAGCTAAATTATTAGTAAATGATACAAATCATAAAAATTCACCAACATCAACGAAACGTATCCATTCACTTGATGCACCATTAATAAATCAATTACTTTCAACTAAACAATTTTTAATTGATATTGATCTATCATTTTTTTCAACAGATGATTCAATACGTAAACAATTTGATGAAAATGAATATGAAATTCTTCGTTATGTTTATACACGTATTGTACAAGAACATACTGATGTAGAAATTTTACAATATATAACAGCACGTTTAAATACATTAGAACAAATACGTACAGTAATGAATGAATATTTAACTGATCCAAAACAAGATCAACCAATTTCTATTGAGTAAATAGAAAATTTAACTAATGATTTATTTTTTTTAAATTTTCTTTTCGTTTTAGTAATACTTATTTAGCTGCATTAATTACTATTATTCGTTATAAAAAACTTGATTGGAAAGCAATACATAATTATGGTATACATCTATCGGATACAAGACCACCATTACATGTTTCATCAGAAGGAATGATAATTTATTTACTTGAATCCATGGCTAAAGTTTTAGAATCATTTGAAAAACAGCCTATTCTTATTACTGTTTCAAGGTAAATTAACAATAATATTGTTCGAATATATTTTATTTAATTAGACTTGTATAGAATTACTCAATAGAAACTTAAATTAAAAGAGTTTCTTTACTATTTAGATCAAAAGTCTTTAGAAATGTCTTCTCAGAGAAGTATTAATATCGATGTTAATGATAGAAACAAGAATGAAAATGATCTATGTTATACGTTTGTTCACACTATCAATAGTCGATTATCAGTCCGAGAACAACTATTAATATACCGCAATAGAATGGCAGTCAGAGAATCGATGATCATTTAAGTATCAGATTACCGCGATTCGATTCGCGGTATAGTGCACATTATATCGAACAGTCTACCGATGGTTTTTATTCAGTTTGAATTACATGGGTAGTGCGATGCTATGCTTTTTTTTCTATCCAAATAAAATTGAGATTATTTAGTTCGACATATGTTTCTTTAGAATATTAACAAGGAAATCATTCTAAGTCATTCACCATTTGAATATATAGAGAGGATATCAGGACTAGAATAATTTTGAACTTATAAAAGCTTTTTGTAGAATTATGACATTTTTACTTGATTTTAGAATGGAATATTAGGGAAAAAATTGAATAAAAGCATAGTCTTTCCACTATAGCTCCAACATGTCGGGAAAATTTCGGACGATTTGGATGTGCCTCGCTCGAAATTGGTTTTTGAGCTGGGTGGACGTGGTCTAAGTACTCTTCATTTCCAAATATAATGTACTTCACTGTTTTTTTTGAATAGCACTAGATCAGAACATCATAGAGATTTCTAGTTTTCATCATTCAAGAGAAACGACTGGGGAGTCATCAAAATTTGATTGATCAGCAATTTACCCATCAGGCGAGCTCTTGATGAAGATTTTCATAAACGATATTCTGAAGATACTTCGCTTTCGATCTATACGAGATTGATACGCCTAGCTTGTTTCATTTGAGAGTTATAATGCTGTTTCTGAAATCCTAATTTCAGTCAATTGATCTGCCACCAGCCGGAAAAGTAGCTTCACAGAAGTAATTCACCATGCTAAGTCGAATGATGATATTTGTTTTTAGGTTCGCAATTATCTGACTCTGTTATCTCAATATTTCTGAAATGTCGACTCGTTCGGTTTATGTAGACTGATTGTGAAATTTCAGAAATATTGAGATAACAGAGTCAGATAATTGCGAACCTAAAAACAAATATCACCGTTCGACTTAGCATAGTGAATTATTTCTGCGTAGTTGCTTTTCCGAGTGCTCATAAGTCGATTGGCTGAAATCAAGGATCTCAGGAAAAGTTTTATAACTCTTGCAAAGAACAAACTAGACATGTCCACCTTGCGTAGATCGAAAGAGAAGAATTTTTTTTCTATCGATTAGTTCTATTATAAAACCTTAATCCAATTGGAAATAGCTTCAGAATATTATTTTTAAAAGTCTCCATCAAGAACTCACCTAATTGGTCAATAGCTAACCAAACAAATTTCGATATACTTCGATGACCCCGAGTCTTCTTTCTTGAATGGTGAAAATCATAGAGTACATTATACGTATTTCGAAATGGTTAGTAGTTTTTTAATGATTGTAAAAATATCTTAGAACATTCGGTCGAAATATTTAATGTTCAAAAACTTCCGATTTTTATGATCGTTTCTGAAGTTTGATTAATTTTTGACGACTGAACATTTCAAGAAAGAAAAAAACAATCGTTTCAACTAAAATTTATGAACAAAATCTCATATCAAACCTTCTTTATCCAATTTATTCAACATTATAGTAAAAATCTTGTAACTCTATTGAGAAAGTCGATGGATTCAAATACCTCTAGTCTAAAGATTCTATCTAATAATTATAATATTTTCAGATGTATCAACGATGGATTTTGTTCATTGGAACAAGCTGATTTAATACAATTGCATGTTGAAAAAAAACTTCGAAAACTTTATAAAATTGATGAAATCATTGGAAAAAGTTTATCAAAATCATTAATCAATGATGATAATAATGAAGATGAATATAATGATGAAGATAATCAAGATAAAAAATCTTTAACAAAAACAAATGATGAACATACTCATCGTTTAAATATAAATACAACAAATGATGATAAAACTATTCACATGGAAACAACAAGTAAAAATGTAATATCAAAAAATGATAATGATATTAATATTTCATCATCAATAAATTTAAATAATCAAAAATCAATTTCACCATCAAAATCAAATTTATCACCAGGTGAAATTAAACCAATATCACCATCATCACTATCTGAAACATCTCCTATATCAAACTGATTTTTCTTTTCTATTGGTTATGTCTAAAAGATTATGATATTACATTTCTTTCTTTTTTTTTTATTGATTTATTATCATTAAAAATGAAAAAAAAAAAGAAAAGTCCAGAGCTCGGCTCTTTGTATATGTGTGTGTGTTTGTTTATGGTTTGTATTTCGAAATGCAATCAGTGTATTGTATTTTTCTTTTTCTTTTTCTTTTTTTTTGCAATTTATTATTATTTCTCATTGAATGATATAATACATTCTTCATTTTCGTTTGTAAATATTTCAAAATGAGATACTTTATATATTCTAGATTTGAAACAATAATGACAAATCATCATTCTAATATAGAAGTATGTAGCTAGTTGAAGGTATGAATTGATGAATAGAAAAAAGATTTACTTATCGGTTTTTGTGGTTTCTTTTTTTCTTTTGGGATTTAATTAGTCATTACGTACGATTAAATCTAATGAACAACGTTTAAAATCACTTGATGAATATGAACGTGAAAAAAAACTTAAAAAAAATTTAATAAAAGATTCATTAAATAATCAAAATAAAACAACACATTTAAAATTTGATTCTGATAATGAGGATGATCAACCAAAAGAATTTATTGAAAAAAAATTTCAATTATTTGATGATAACGAAGAAATATTAAATGTTGATGAACATTTTAATTCAAAAACTACTACAAAAAAAAGAAAAAAATTACAAGATCTTCAAGTACGTTTAACAACAACAAATGATCCACGTTTTCAATTATCTGAACAATTTCTTGATGATCATCAGAAAACATTTGATGATAATGATGATGATGATGATGATAATGATAATAATGATATTTCAATTGAAGAAGAAAAAAAGAAATCTCTGGCTATACTTGATCAAATAACAAATGCTAGATCTTCTATATCAAAACCTAAAACAAAAATGATTCGTTTTGATCCTAGTAAAACTGAACACAGAATTTATGAACTTAATTCAGGAATTGAAACTTCTGGAGATAATCTTAAAACTTCAGAAGATATCAAACCAAAATCAATATTAAAACAAACCAAAGAAACAATACCAACTATGTAAGTTTAATATTCACATAGAAGTAAGATCTGTCAGATTCTAAATATTCAGATCCAGACTTTATGGGTTCTACATATATAGACTATTTGCCTTGAATTGATATAAAAAACTCAAAATTATTGAACTATTTTATTTTGCATATTATAAATTTGTTTGTTTCTTTTTTTATGTTAAGTGATTCGACACGAACCTATGAATTCGATGAATCTAAATTAAAATCAATGTTTAATAAAACATCAAATTTAACAAATACTTCAAAAGAAAATGAAGGATTTCAATTTCAGTTTTTTAATAATAATGAATCTATTACTTTACCTACTCCAAGTTTGTTTAATTTCTCTTAATATTCAAATGTATGTATATAGGTAAATGTTTTTGATTTTTATAGAAGTATCTTCATTACCTAAACCAATATCGAATGGAAAATCGAAAATCTTTTTAAATAAAATCGATGATACATCAAGTGATGAAGATGATAATGAAAAACCATCTTTATCAGAAGAGTAAATATTATATATAGAAATCAAAAATATTGATTTCCTTTTTTTTTTTTCTTTAAATAGTACGGAAATAAAAGGTGAAATAACAAATGAAACATTCTTTTTTTTTGATATTGATGATCGATTAAAAGGTAAAATTTCCTTTTTCTATTGTTCTTATAAAATCAAATTTTAAATTTTTATTTTTATAAATTTTAGATGGTTTAGAAAGTTTCGTACGTACTGAAGATTTAAATGAACTTGAACGAACATGGCCAACAAAACGAAAAGAAATAGGCGAAGTAAAAAACATCCTTTTTTTCTGTTTTATTTTAAACAAATATTTCAATTAGGCTCTTCGAACAAAACATCGTAAAGCTATACAACGGAAAGATAAGCATCGAGTATTTAATCATCGTCGTCAACAAAAACAATATTCTAAATCGAATATTGACTAAATGTTTTACTTCCATATTGTTGTTTTTTAAGAAAAGAAAATTAACAGTAATTTGTTATTTACTGTTTTTTTTTTTGTTATTAGCAAGGAAAGAAATGTTAGAAAACTTTGTCTTTCTTTTCGTTTTAGATATAATGTTTTTTCCATCTGAAGGAGGTTTACCTGCAGGTGCAGGAGGTCGTCGACCAGGCGCAAATCGTCCTACTGGACCAGCAACAAAATGGGATTATATTAAAACATTTTACTATGATCCAGTAAAATGGTAAAATTCTATAGAAAAAAAAAAAGAAAATAGTTTCAAAATTACTTTTTGTTTATATTATAGGGATTTTGTCAAAAGTGTTGGTTTTTTTGCTATTACAGTTTATATGATTCGAGATTTTGCATCAAATGATCTTCTTCCAATGGATTAGAACAATAGTTGTTTTTCTTTTGTTTGAAATAAAGTATTAACAAACAACAAACATAAAATTATCTGTTTCACGATTATTGAACGTATTTTAACGATCTTTATGGAGTTTTATAAAGAAATATTGATCGTTTCAGGCGAAATGGAACATACGCACCTTTGATTCTTTATAAGGGTTATTTTTCTCAATAAGTTCTTTTAGCATACACTAGTAATTAGTGGGATTAATCGTTTTAGGTTTCAGCCAGTAAAAATTTTTAGTTCTAGTTTCCTACTTAATAATATATATACTAGTGGAAAATGCGATATCATTTTCTAGCTGTCTCAATGTGCTCGAGACATAATGCATAGCCCACATAACTCCTAATATCCTTCTTCTTGAAGGTTCATTACTTTTTCTTTTTATTCACCAATACTTCGTCTTATTCTGCAAGTTTATGTGTTCGACAACTCTGTTGTTTACGAAAAAAAAAGATTAATTTTATTATCAAAATTGTAATAGCAAATATTGAAGTGATCATTACTCGCATAAACTTTTAGAACAAATGAATTGTGAGAATATGATATTCGACGCAAATTTTACACGACCATAAAAGATATCATTCCCAATGAAAAATTGTTGGCTTTTTTAGTTGACTATTAATTAAAAATGTAATTAGCGAATATCTCTCTAGTTATATGAGATAAAAGAAACAGAAAACTTCAGGATAGATTCTATGGCACAAACCATATCTATAGTGGAATATTCAGCAAGATTGAACTCCTCAAAAAAATCAATATTCCAGAAATCCTGTCAAATCTCGAAACAAAAAATGTTTATCTTACGATCATCTAGAGATTCTAAAGAAGGATTTGTACCGTTTGAAATTGGTTTTGAACTTTTCATTCAGTTATAAGCTCATTGATTGTTTTGAAAAACTGAGCCATGCTCGGAAAAAACTTCGGATAGACTGTTTGTAACCTCAAGAGTTATCTACAGAATATATTATTGAGTTTTTAAAAATGCTGTCTCAATTCGAAGTTTTTTTTAAAGCTAAAATACATGAATTGCAAATCGATATCCTTTTTAACACTATTTTTTTTTACTGATGCCTCCTCTAGATAATAGTATTTAGAATAAATTAATTTATATGTAACATATAAAAATTAGCTCGAGAAAAGTTCATTATTCTGAGATATACGTGTTTTAATTTTGCAAAGTCACGTTATTAACGGACAATTTTGTTCGTATGTTTGAAGTGATATTTCAAACTTCAGATATTGAAAGATTGAAGAATAATTGTCAAAAGAAATCTAACTTTCAAGTTGAGTATAACATTGATATCGATGAAGAAAGTTTTCAAAGAAAAAAAAGAAATTCATTTAAGTCAAATTTCTCTGATTTCATTCATACTATTATATAACGTCGATACCTGTTATTATTTTTCAAAAAATATCAAAAAAAAGATAGTATGATTCCAAATAAAACAAAAAAAATCTTCTCAATTAATAGATATTGGACGATCTCTGGGAATAATTCCCGAATAATTAGCATGTGAGAATGGACAACCATCTCCAGTATGTCCACCAGTTCCCCACCATGTTGGAAATTCTATTCCATTATTTTGCATTATAAAAAAGATTATTAATACACCAAAAGCCACACCACAATCCATTGCTGCCGAAAAAACATATGCATAACGTTTCCACCATGATCGTGCATGTCGAAGAAGTATAAAATTGAAAATAAATCCAACTAAAAGCCATGATGGAAAATTACCAGGTGGAGCCGGTGGCATTATTGCTGTTGCTGTTAACATAATTGGAAAATGAATATATTTCAACCATTTAACATTAGGAAATTTTTTCATAAGAAACCAAAATGGTATAGGAAGAAGAATACCACCGAGAAAACCATAGAGAAGTGGTGAATAGATAGATCCTTTGCCAAACATTTTTTTTGGACCTAAGTTATACATATTAATATAAAAACAATATTTTACTGATACAGATTTCAATAGAATTAAAAATTTTGAAGTTTCGGAAAACAATGTTTGATGGTCTTTTTTTTTCTTCTCGAACTCATTCAACAATATAGATAACAAAATTTTGCTTACCGATAGCTCCCCAAATAATAGATGCACTAAAAAATATATTAGCATTAGGACATGTCCATCGAGTATTTTGTGGTGTACAAATATTTGGAATATTATTCATTAAATAGGTTGCTGTTAGATAATTCACAATGCCTGCTATAATTGTACCTACTAATTGAGTAACAAACATTGCACGTGGTGGAATCTAAATATAATTATTTAGAAGTTTATTGTTAGTTATATATATATATGTATCATACCTTCATATAATGACCTAATTTTAAATCAGATATTAGAAGTAGAGCTTGATATTGTGTAATATATCCATAAGTTTTAAATGTTATATTAGCTAGGGGATCACCGGGAATGACAATACCAGCAACAAATTCAGTAATAACGTTAAGTCCTAAATAAACATTCATATTACGAAGAAAAAAAATAGAGAAGAAACACTATAGTTACTTACCAATGGTTTGATTGGTAATAGCTTGAACAATACCAGTAGGTAGAACAAAAATAAATGCAATTGCAACAGCAACTAAAATTTACATTAAATAGAAAATTAAAAGAAAGAAAATGAAATCAAAGAAATTATTCTCATAGTATTGCTAAATAGAAGACAATATTATGAAATTAAGACCAATTCACTTAATTTTTGCTACTTTTATACTAATAAAATAGAGATGGGTAAGTCCGAGTCATGACTCTGACTTGAAAGGTGGATGCCGTTGACTCAAATCATTCATTCAAACGGTAATTCATATCAACTGCTAGAAAAATCATGCATTCCACTTACGTGAGTACCAGTTGAATGTATATTTTCTGAAAGGTGGTATTTTAATGAGATCGAATCGTTCAAATTTTTTACAAGCTAGTGTTTGTATTTTAACATCTTAGAAGAAGAATAAGTCGAAGGAAAAACGCGAGATTTTGGTATTCCGAAGTCTCGCTTTCCCTCTCTTCTTAACAATAAGACATTAATTCAAATGTTAATAAGTTTTTTTTTACTGGTAAACAACTTTAAGTTTAGGTTTTTATTGGCAAAAATTGATACTTTCTTACTATCTTGTGAAACTGTATGAAAGTGAACGATTGATGTCACTGACGTCTTTTTGTTGATAAAGCTATAGTAGTTGTGTCATTTTATTTCATGTAGGACCGTTCTTATTTTAGTTTTTGTGCATAAAAACTAGGAACAAGATATGAATGCCAATATACTAATATAAGAATAACAAGTTTTCTTTTATCAATAAAATAGAATGTTTGACACAAAACAATTCTGTAAAACTTCAAACTTTAAGCCAAAAATTTTGTAACAATAAAGTATAACCGCATATCATTTCTCATTCATGCAATGTTTTATCCAAATTTTCTCTTTGAAAGGAGTAGTTTAAAACTTCAGCAGGATGAATACCTATTTTTGAGAGAACAAAAACATAGCGCATGTTAAAATAATCACAAAATCTGGAACGATCAATCTGATGTCTGGAGAGGTGCCGCTTCTACACTAGATAAAACACTGCATACATTATCGGTAAATTATTTATATTTCATTCGAAATATCACAAAACTTTATTCAACTTACGAATTAGATAATACCATGGCATTAATTTACCAACATGACAAACAATAATAGCAAGAGTAAATGCTATGATAAACAATATGGTATACCTAAATAAAAAACATATTCCATCTTTTTTTTTTTATAAATAATTCTTATACATACCACCATTCTGGTGCTTCACGATAGCGAGACATAAGTACAGCATGAATGTCATTATGATCATCCTTCAGAGATGATCGAAATTGTTTTATTATTGTTTTACCTTTATATCATCGGTAATGTTTAGTTTTCTTCAAAAATAAAAATAAAAAAACAAATGTTAACTTACCATGATACAATATCGTATGAACAATAACTGCTGATATTGCAGCAAATGATATAGCATACGAAAGAGCAAGAATAGTTGACATTCGAAGCTCACCTTTATAAGATAATTATAAATGAGAAAAATGATTAGATCACATAAATATTTTTACAAAATTAACATACCATAGTTTTTATAAGCAGTTTCATTTAAACGCATTTGTGAATTTAGTACAGCCGAAACATTATAGAAATAACCGTCTGCAGTAAAAACACGATTACTAACAATTGGCATTGCTTTTGAATCCCATAGATTAGTATAATATACAATAGGTGCTATTATCCATGCTAATAAAACAAAGCCAATCAGTATATTAATTTGAGCCCTATATAAATATAAACAAGAATAAAATTTATGTATGAAAAACAAAATAACGAGTCTATTCTATTAGTTCACTTGCCAGAATGGAACAATTATTGGTGAACCAAGAAATGCAACCCATGCATTCCAATCAATTTCTATTGAACCTATACCAAGTCCATTAATTCCAGTAAGTTGTGAGAGAACAACATTATCTGGTTTAATCATACATATCCAAGAAAAAAGTGATAAAGCAGGAAAAATAAAACCAGGAAACCAATACCATAAAAATTGACACAATGATGCAATGAAAAAAAATCGTAGACGTGACATTTTCCAATATGATTCTTTATTTACTTCTTCTTTACTATCAATATCTCTATCATTATGTAAAGTTCGAAAAAGAGCACAATTAACAAGATTAGTTGGCCATATCATAGCTGATGGCCAAACAAGAAATTTTCGCATAATACCAGCTATTCCATAACCTAAAATTTGTGATGTAATAACAAAAGTAATACCAACTAATGGATGAAGTAAGCGTTTATAAAATATTCGCAATGTTGTAATAACATCAATAGCATATGCTGTACTCTATAGAGTATAAATGATATATATTTTTTCTTTTTTTTTTTATTGTATATTAAAAATAAACTTACACATGTTGCATTAGCCATTGCTGTTATAATACAATGTTCTTTAATAGTAAATGGACCTGGATTAAGAGTAAAACTCCATCGAAATATTTTAAATTTTCGATCTGGTAATATTTTAGCCATTCCTTTACCTAATGGATATGTTAATAATTGTGCAACAAGAGTACCAACAAAAAGTGGTGATGTTCGATACCAAAAAAATTGATTTACAAACGAAAGAACACATGTAAATAAAAGACCAAGAAACCATGATCGAAATGTTAAAACCAATATAGAAGGATCATCTTTATTTGAAACATTTGTTGCTACTTCTTCATCTAATACTTGTTCATTCCCATTAGTAGAAATTGATTGTGTTGAAGCTACAGAATCTTCTGGATTATCAATATGAACTGTTGAAGTTTCATTACTAAATACAATATTTAAATTATTTGTATTAGATTCAATATTTGGAAACAGTTCTAAATCAATATTGTCTTCATATTCTTCTGCAAAAGCTATATTGTCTTCGCCATGTTTCGTTTGATTTTTTGTATGTTTTTTACGATTCGGATTAATTTGATAAACGGGTGTAATAAGCCGTACGCGATTAGTCGCCATGTTCAATATCAATTAATCCTAAAATGTAAAACAATACCAATTATTTTCTATTTTTCTTTTTGATAAAATGAATTTTTTTATAACAAAAATAAAAATATTCTGATAACAACCTTAATGACATGTACATCGGAGGTAAGCTTGTGTTATAATGAAGTGAAGAAAGGGGAAGAAGCAAAAAGAAGAGTAAATATTTAAGAGAAAAATGAGAGAATAGATTATTTTAGAGGAACAAGAGTGAGCCGAATAACCATTCACTATTAGAAATATATAAGTGATTCTAAATAGAGCAAAAAATGATTGTACAGATGATTTTAATTGCTAAGATACATTTTATCAAGTTTTAAAAAATAGCTACATGTTTTTATTAATAATATCTATTTCGTAACAATAAAAATGGGAAATGCAGAAAAACGAGGAGAGGATGTCGCTACAACGTTTCTAAAGTAGATTATGTTTACTAATCCACGTACTATGTTAATTTCGATAAATAATCATTGTTATTAAATCATGTCAATGAGAACTTATTGACCTTATATAACGAATAAAAAGAGAAAAGCATCGTCATCCATGAAAGGATAGAAAAAATAGTAAATGAATAGTGTAAAGTATTTGAAATTAGTCGTTTTGACTACCATAAAATTTAAAAAAATATATAGAAATTTTTAATTTGACACACAGAAATTTTAATGTGAGTTTAATAAGCTTTCTTTTTATTTTTCTATTTTATATAATCATTAATTTCTTTCTACGCTATTTAGACTTACTCTATTTAATGTTTCATATATTTTGTGTTAACTCATCCAGAAAGAGTCAAACAAGTAATGCAAACGAAAATGGTCACGTTGTTATTTTTTTTTTAAACATATGATTCATTTATTGCTGTTTATTTCTGACGTAAAAGTCGTATTTCAAAACGATTATTTCTTTTCAAGACAAAAAAAAAACATCACATTATGATTATTTATGTAAATTAAAAATGCCAATGTCTAGAAATATTGAACGCTTGGATAACAACCAATCTGCTAAGTATCTGGTGCAACTATATGGTATATGTAAACTTGAGTATTATAGAACGAGGAAAAAAAAAGAAAAAAGAACGAGTATAGAATATTATGCCATCGAGCAAACGATTGTGGCGAAAAAAACGAAGACGTGGGTGTAGATGAAAATTGCCAATAAGAGAAAGAAAAAGAAAAAGAAGAAAAGAAAGAAAAGAAAGAAAAGAAAACGACTTCGTAGTCTAACTATCACTATGAAGTTTTTAGGATCGTGATACACTATTGGACTCAAATTATCCTATATTTCACTAAAGCTAGCATAAAAATATTGGCAACTATTAGAAAATAATTCAATGTAGTGAATACATTTATGTCTATAAACTTTTCTATGAATATTTATCATAAAATACTTATTAATCGTCATAATTTTTGTACGTTAGTTTTGATGAAAAGTTATATCTATCCTCAGACATTCATTGTTTTGACCTACATTTTAGCCCTTATCTCTACGTAAGAAAAAGGCATGATAAGTTCGAGCACTGAAAAGTTTATTTACGTGTTGTCTGATCATGACTAAAGTTATCGTGACGTGACATGCTTACTAAAATTGATTAGGATTGACGATTATTCACAAATTGTTCTCAATTCATGGATGTATCAAATAATAATAGTAGCCAACCAACCTTACAAAAAAGTTTCAAAAATCATTAATAAAATCTTCTAAAGCAATAATAATTTCATAACTACCAGAAAATTGACAACTATTTGGCACATGAAAGTAAATTATAACTTTCATTTATATAGAAAAGAAAGATTTTATCACAAATTTAAAAAAAAAAATGATTAATTAAGATGTTCATAGAAAAGTCACGCGTTTATGTTTAATAATTTAATCTTTTTTTTTTTACATTGACCTTTTATGAACCATACATTTTCTAATAGAAATTCTTTTGAATAAAATAAGGGATCATTTTCATAAAGCTCAAATAGAAAAAAACAACATCAGTCATCAATTTTCTAGTGAACGAATAAAGTCATTCTGAAGAAAGACTGGCAAGTTGGCCGCTGTCATAGCTGAGAGAATGAGAGTTTGCTTCACTAATCAATGTATCAATTTAGAATGAAGATTACATAAATTCTTCAACTGTTTTAAATTTTATTCTGTACTTACAGTTCAACTAAATTATTATATCACAACACAAGCAATGTTCTCTGTTCGTGCCATAAACTGTCCAAATCCGATGTCGATTCTTTAATCATATCATCTGTCGAAAGCGTTTGCGAATTCGCCAACAAATAGTACTGATACATTCAATCCAATATGGTGGAGCTTCCTTACTGAAACTTCGACATGCTCTCTTTTTTCCACTTGACTACTAGCCCTTTATCCTCTGTTGACTGATTAAGACTTAACTGTTTTTACTATACCTCATTAAAAGGTATATATTGCTGCTTTTCCTAGGAGAATTTCTTTCTCGCTTCTGTCTAATGATAAATTTGTCACTCGATGATTATTTTCGACTAAAGAAAATGTCATTGAGTACTCACAGGTATTTGTAGCAGAAAGGTTGAACACGATTTCGTTATTTACACAGATTAAACTGCTTTGTTCCACGTTCCGATGTGTTTAGTATAGACACAACATGGATATCATCTCATGACATGATAGACTCACTTGTAATGCTTGATGAAAGAAATTCTTGGTGCTTTCTAGAATTCCAAGAAACAGCCTAACCTATTTTTTGTTCTTTCTTTTTCTACTTTTTTCTTTTTTCTTTCTCTTTCAATTTTTTCCTCGTCACTTTTCTCTTCGAACAATCTGCATAACTACAATAACGTCCTTTTAAGATTACAATTGTCAAAGAACAATAAAAGGCTTTACAAGAAGAAAAAATGCCATTGTGAATAGAAAGAGTAATTTTCAGTCTGGAAAATTGTTCTACTTCGTATGAGTTTTGTTGAATAACTTGTTTACGTCGTTTGCCTATTATTATTATTGCTTTTGTAAGGTACCGCTAGCGCCAAATCCAAGTAGATTTTTTTCTCATTTACCTATATATAGTTTGATAGACCTTGATAAGTTGCTCATAAATATAGAGTTTTTATTTCTATTCCACCGTTATTTGATTGAAAAAAAGCTCGAATGCCCGAAAATATAAGATTAATAATTGTGAACTCACCTGTTTTTTTGCAAAGATCATTAAATTTCGCTTATGTTATTTTTTCAAACTGTATGAAAACATTTTATTCTGATTCAAAAGATATTATTTGATTTAATTTCGAAGTAATAATCTTAAAAGAATTCTGTTCAATGTACATAGCTTCAGCATACTTCGTAACACCTATTTGTTAATATTCGTGTAAACTGCTCCAATTTTTTTTGCAACAAAAGATAAAATCAAATGTCCTATTTCATTAGAATCGCCAGACTAGAAACTACAAAAATATCAATTCAGTTTTTCTCAGATTTTATTTTATTGTTGAGAAAGATGCGTTTACTAGAATACTCACAAATAGATGCTATGAAGCATGTTGGAGTTACCTATACCGGACAGCATTTTTTTAAGCTTATTACTTGAAAAAAATAACATAATTGAAATTTGATGATTTTTGTAATAAAAAACAGCGAATTCATAATTACCGATGCTACATTTTTGATTATTCGAGCTTTTTTTTTAACCAAACAATGGTGGAACTACAATAAAAACTAAATATTGGTGACCCAAGAAAAAATTCACTTGAATTTTGTATTAGTGATACCTTACACCTTGCAAAAATAATATTGACATCATGCCAAATATTGACTAATAGACTTGTTGCTTCAAAATGATATCTAAATTGAAGCCTTTAGGTATTGAAATGAACGGGTTTTTTAGTAATCATTCCTTAGCTGATGTAAAGAAGCACTTTTTACTTTTTCAACCATAAAAGAACAACAAAACTGTGTTAGTATTTTTTTACGATTTTTCTTGATTAAACAACAGAATAAGAAATGTAAAATTTATTTTTTGTTGTTTATCGTTCTATTTGTGTACATAATCAAACAGAAAGAATTCAAACTTCTTTCAATTTTCTCATTGTTTATTTAATCATTTATAAAAATAGATTGATCGAAATAGACAATATCGCTTAGTTCATTCTATCCACAAAATGATTATATTCTACATGTTTCATTTTTCTCGTAAAATAAATGGTTTGTTTTTTCAATGAGCATTCTAGGTAATTCACGGCAAGTACAGAGTTTCTCGAGTATGAGTACTACCAAAGTCGTACTCAAAGAATTTGCAATTCAATGGCAAGTTTACATTGTTCTGAATATTGCCGATGAAGTGGTTCCTCACCACATATCCATTCAATTTGATCTAGTCACCTACTGTTGTGACTTTTATATTAATGGAGAGGGCAACTAATCTGTTTGTCTTACTAACTCTCTCAAAGAAATCTTCAATTTCTAGACAAATAGATATACTGAAGAATGTTTTCGGAAATGGAAATTTTAGTAGAGAAGATTTACCAAGAACAGAAAGCAACGTTTAAGTCTCAACGTTATCGAAGAAATACCTGCTCAAAACCATCGTAGACAGAATACCAAGTCAGTAAACATTAATGTCATGAGTAGTTTAAGAAACTACTGTATTGAGTTTTGAAACTCGAAAAATATAGAAGAAACTCAGGTTGACTGATGCCAGTCATGTTAATCGACGATAAAGTTTGACAAAATAGATAGAATAGTAGCATAGAATTTATTAATTAATGTCTTTTGTGCATGAGCATCTCTGGCGTTATATTATCATAGAAACCATCTATTTTGTCTGAAATCTCGAGTGAAAATTCGTACTCCTACTTGCCCAGCAGTATAATCCACATCCGTAAAAAAAACAATAGATTCATTTATTTAATAGGACTTCTTATTAGGTTTTCTCTGAAAGCTAATTTTAAAAGCTACTAACCCATTCTCTTTTCCCATAGACTTGATACAACACACGTTATTTTATTGTAAAA